GGCCTCATCTCCTGCAATAACTTTCGTCCTGTGTGGCGTGCATTTTCGTGCGGTCGCATCGCCGTCATCGTGTCGATTATCGGCATTACGGGAATGGTTCGTCTGACGAAAATTTCGTGACAGAGACGTCCACAGAGAGGCGCACATCGATGCCACGTGCGCTGCCCACGGAGTTAATTATGCGCGAAAACAATATTATCGAAGGAATTATCGGACGTGAAGCCAAACTTCGATAAAGCCGCCGCTGTTCATCGCCCCTTCATGACAGGGTTAATGCGCCGCGTAAAATAAATCATTAACGCGAATGATCTGTTTTTATCGGGATTATAAACTGTGAGAATAAGTCGGATTACTAACGGATTATTGAATTTTCTGAATTTTTTCGTGTAAACAGAGGCAGAATCTTCTTGGGTAAATAAAAACGGTGGATTTTGCTAATGGACTAGCCATAAAAGTTTCTTGTTACAAGTAATAAATACAAGTAATGGAGATAATATGCGAGGATTGTACGGTATAAATTTTTTTTCCATACACGAACCGTCTAAATTATTCTGATAGATAGAGTTCCACAGTAAATACAAATCGGAGCATGTAGAGAGAAAGAGATGTAGCGCACTATGTACACGACGACTTAACGAAATAGTAATCCGACAGAAGCTTCAGATTTATCGGTAGGAGATTTACGTTAGTTTGAAGTCCGTTAACGCGTAATCTGTTAATTACATCTCGCGCGGCTTCGTCCCTCGTAATCGCAAGACTCGACTTTGCTACGGGAAAAAAATGTTTCATCATCGCGATAACATCGGATACATTTCCTTTAGCATAAATAATCGGAGTATTTATTATATTCTTATCTTGCAGATTTCTCTCTCTCATCGCGGTAACTAGAATAAACTTACGTTAATTAATCTATAAAGGCGTATAATGAGCTTTTAAAAATGCAATGGTTATTTAATGCTTGAGCAAGTTTGAATTTACTCATTATATAACATCTAGAAAATTCATATTTATGCGCAAGATAATACAAAATATTTAGCAGATGAGATTATATTTCGATAGCAATGTGTTAATTTGAATTTCCTGCAATGTTATATTAGAAATTATATTTTTATATTTATAAACTTGTAGCATGTAATTTTTGTCATCACTGTAATTATTTGATTTACTCTTAATAGCTTTTCGAGAATGCTAGAGTACCCTTAAATGAAAAAAAGATAAGAGATCTTAAGTACGAGTCTAATCCACTTTGAAGAAAATCGTAATTCTAGAAACGAAAATCAGTTAGCGAATTTGCATTATAGTTTGGAAATAACGATATTTTATTTAGAGAAACTATCTCTATACCGTGTATAAAATTGTTTTTGTTCCCCAAAAGTGCTGATACGCCCCGACATTAACTCTTTCGAGTTAATTTAAAACTTTTATCTCTTTAACAGAGATAAAAAGGGTATTCGATTCTATTTGTGTGTTTGCGGAACTAAAGATTAAATGACTTTACATAGTTAAAATTGAATCACGCTAGCGATAGTTTTTCCTCAAAATTCATATGGCATTGTTGATGGCCATATGTTTGCGACAGTGGGATCCTGGAAAAGCCGTATGTTGCGTGATAATCACGTGCATGGTTTATCTTATCACCCTCGCGTATATTCGACGTCCGGGACATCGAGAAAGCTTTCAAATCTGATTTATGTGGTGATGATTATTCTTCCTCCCTCTTAAAATATTCGATAAAGTTCCATTCCTGCCTCGCGCTTCTGACTTTTATCGAAAATGTATAATCGATAATTCGTGGACTGTGGAATTGGTGATTCATATGTTGACGATGATGCATACGATATTTCATGCATAATACGCGAACGTTTTGATTTACTACAAGTAGAAATAAAAATATTTTTTTCAGAATCTTGCCCTCTAAAACTGAATTTGATGGGACAACGCGAAACGATCTGTCTTATTTCTCGCAGAATTTCGAAACACCTTTCGATTTGCTTCATTAAGAGACCTCGCATTTGCGCCAGCTGCGCACTTACCTTCAACCTGGACAGAGACTTGTAGGGTTTAATCGACTTTATAGCACCGTTCTGCTCCGTTTGTACTTAAAGTTTTTTCTCTTTCTTTTTTGCGCTCCCTGCGATCTTTAATTATACATTCAGAAGAGATCTCATTACGATGTGTCGCAAAAGAAAATGATTAATTGAAGACATAAGTAAACGTAAGTGCATACATTTCGCAACCCGTTATACCCGTTACATCGATTGCGCTTCGCGCAAACGCACACGAAGGACGCAAGTAATTAGACAAGCACGAGCACAACATACGAGAGCAGACGATAAAATTTATCAGACTTCAAGTATTCCTTCAATTTTCTTACATAACACGAATAAATCCATCCACAAATTGACGTGATATTTCGTAACGAAATGATAATCGATAAAGTAAAGTCGAGTAAAGTCAATCTTTCCCGAAGGAGAGCGATACGAAGCGAGAATATTGCTTCGAGAATACCTCAAGAGCGAATATTTCTCAAGGAATATCCTGCAAATATTTTTGGACAAGAAAAATATTTAAAGAATATATTCCTTCTTTTTTCCTCTCTCCCCACAAACGCGCACGTGCTACGGCTGTAAGTATGTCATAGAGCGGGATAAAGAGGGAGTCAGGATATAGAGGTCGACCGAAGGGTCGTCGGCAGGCTCATTTATACAGGGATATCACGCAGAGTAAGGTATCGGCTTTAGGAAGAGAAAAGTGTACGCTGGTCATCTTCGAGAGAACCTAAATGACACCTTGATAAGGCCCGATAAGATATCGCATTTACGCGTGCCGCGTAAATATTGCTTTTAATATCGGCCTGGCCTATAAATAACAGCGCGCGCTCCCGGTTTTTCCACCCCGTTTACCCTCCCTCCTGTCTGTCGCCTATCGTTCTGCATCCGTTTTCACGGCGCGGTAACGTCGTCACCGAAGAAAACTGCCGCAGGATGAAAAGTAAGCGTCGTGTCACCAATACGTGCGCTTGTCCTCTCTCTCTCGTGCAACACACGTGTATGTGCTGTACAAAGACGCATTTGTGTGCACACGGGAGTGCGCTAGAAGAGGGTGAATTTCATGAGTACGCGCGCGCGTGTATGGCACAACGATACCACGGTCTTGGCACGGTATTCATATGCCGGACGTCCATTGTCTCGAGTTGTTCGAAGGTAAAAGATCACAACTGAAGCGTTAAAGCTGACGTCATTGTGTTTCACTTTTCTTTCGTCGTGCATCTGCCCACGCCCGCTTGCGTATATGCATACACACACACACACACACGTATACACATGGGAATCTCGTCTACCGCCGCGTATATCATCGGCGCCTCGAGCTATCAATTTCGCGCAATATAACTTTGATACGATGCTTTGTTTTACTTTAAACCGATGCACATTTTACGTTGCCGGTTTTTGCATCGTTAATAGCGGGACAGTTCGTAGCGATATCGGATAGAATCCGGATGCGATTAAGTGTTAGAAGTACGCTTGCGTCTCGTGGAAATTAATGCAATTATCGAGGGTGTGCTCGATATGCGCCGCCATTGGCGCTTTATTGAAACGTTCTTAAAGTCGATTTAATACCGGCGTTTCCCCCACAGTTTTCACGTTGCATATCGGATTTCAATCGTAACTGGCCGACTGCCAAAGTGCGCCACGTATGAGTTCAGTTATTTTTAAATAAGCGGGAGCAATTAATTTATCAAGGAGTTTATTTAGAAAGAGACAAAGAGAAAGAGGGAGAGAAGGGGAAAGGGAGAGATTGTCAATGTGTAAGGCAACCGCACTCGACCTCTCGGTTACCAGAAGCAGATGCAATAGTCGATTCACTATTCCCGACATTATAGGTCGACCGTAGGGATCCCTCCTGTTTGCGTGACATCAGCGTTGGTTCATTCCTGCGGCTGACAATTTTATATCTCGGCGACGAGAATATTCCCGCGCTCTCTCTCTCTCTCTCTCCCTTAATTAATCGCGCGCGATTTAAGCGTGCAAAATAGAAAAGCGCGTCTATGTCGAGCGGGAAAAATATCTCGTCCGTTGACGGAACGGAGAAAAAGTCCTCTATGAACTGTGACCTGCGGATACACGGTTGACCCGCTCATCATTGAGCTCTCCCTCCCGCTCCCCAATCATTTGTTACACATGCATCATCGACGATGTGAACACTGGTCGTCTTTCCTTGTGACGCCGGGATTAATCCTAAGGGTAGTTACTCGTACAGACTCCCGATACGTAGACTATCTGGCATTTATTAGCATAGGTCATTGCTTTAAACCGCTGCCGACACGATGGCGGAGCTGCGTTACACACATATTCGCGTTCTTATAGACAAGGTTTTTCCATGACGTATCTATTAAATTGTTTATTGTAAAACTGTAAACTGTCAAACTCTTTCCGGTGGATCGCAATACTCGACTAGTTTTTCTTATCCGCGTTACGTAAATCCGTAATGTGTTTGCAGGATGCGGCGTTTATAAATAATTGACGAAAAAGTCGATAGAATGCACGGACCAGGTAATGCCACGCGACAAAGGTATATACTACGCGAGTTAAATTTCCTTCGCGGCGGGATTTCAATTTGAAAGTTCATACGCGTGTGATATGCATCAAAGGTAATTATTGGGCGTGCGAATGATTTTACATCGCTTGACCTTTACATGTATATTTAAATCTTGTTAAAACGTAATCGCTACGATCCAAGTAATTATGTATATAGCTCGATAATTCGCGTTAAAGTGCCGCTAAATAGGTACAATATTGATGTAATGATCGCCGATAAGCGCACACAACTTGTGGGAACGAGCTAATTAACGTTAAATCTTTGTCGATTACAGCATTACTCTTAAGTGCTTTACAAGCTTTATGATTTTAAGATTGAGCTCAGGTTGCGAATGTAAGTGTTTTTCGTAATTTTTTTTTCAACATTTACGATTTGTAATCCCTTCTTTGTTCTCTCTGTTGCAGTGAAGAAGGCGCGGTTCATCTGCGAGGATGGTTCGTATTATGTGGCAAAAAAATAAGGAATCTTACGAAGATGGAAACTTCAGGATTCATCTATTTAATTGATTTGTTTCCCGATTACTTTCAAACTTATATACGAGCGAAATATTATCGCGTGCGTAATCGTGTACTCGGAATTGGAATTGAGACGAGCCGCGAAATCAAAACCCTTACTCACGCTCCGTTTCTAAAATCCGCGAACGATTTATTGCGCCCCGCGCGATTGGAACAGTTCCAAGTTTCAGATTATGTGATTCTTCAAGCAGAATGTCGTGATGTTTCGCTTATATCGAAATAATTTTTCCGAAAATATAAAAGATCTTTTTAGAAAAAGTTATATGGTATATATAAATCTAAGATATCATATAATACTTTAAGTACGTGTCTCTCTCCCTTTCTTCCTCTTTTTCTCTCTCTCTCTCTCTCTCTTTTACTATAAATTTTACAAATTATTTCAATAAAAGGAAAATATATTAATAACGTTAACAGTCCCTGTTAAAGAGACATGTTAAAGGGATTTTATAAATTGTGTCATAAATCCGTGAAATTTATTTCATACGCGCGATTACGATTAATACCTTAATATTATTCAATATTTTCTACGATGACGAGCGCGTAACCTTGGCAGCCTCCGCTTTTGCGTTTATATATTGTACTTTTTTAATATCCAACCACGCGCGTCACGTGTATGGCATTGTACGGAATGGACATATAAAGACCATTATTCCATGCAATGTTGCAAGATTGAAGTAACGATAACGTCTACATTCGCATCGCGAACATTAAAAGCATCTAGTTTTATGAATTTATTTATTCAACGCACCGATCGTGCTTTCGTTCGTATTATGAACAACTGTCTCTCTTTTTATCACATTTTTAACAAACTTAACTTCATTAAAGTTAATCGTTTTTCGCATTTACAGTAATCCTTCACGTCTCTCGTTTATAAGAACGAAGAAATAAGGTTGTATATCGCTGAGACTCTTATTCTTATTCTGTATATCCTGACGATTCGATTTGTTCTATATCTAGTATCCCCCAGGTCAAGAAAGGCTGCGCGTTATTTTCACGTCGTGTCGAGCTCTATTTATGTCGCGTCTAATTTTTTATTAATAACTCGAATTCTCTGTTGAGTTCGGCGTGTGGCTGCTACCAAAGTCAGCCGTGGAACGCGACCCTTGAACATATTTCGCCGGTCGCTCGGAGACAATTTCGTGGCTCGTAAAGTAAAATGTCGAGGGTGACGCACTACCGTACCCGAAACACTGTGTCGCGGATCGTAAAACCTCGCTCCTGCTTTTTGCGCGACTTATCGAAGGCGTGCAGCTGAGAGCATGTACAGTAGATGCAATGGGCGGAACTTATTTCAACTTAATAGAGTACAGTTCTCTCTCCCCATCCTCTCATTCTCGAACATATAACCGTGAAGATGCCATTACAAACATTGCTCTTAAATCACGAGCAAAACGGTCCATTTGCTAATATTACACGTAGATTAAAATTATAATAAAAATTCTATTTATATAATTCATATAATTCATAAAAAATATAATTCATTTGTTTCACGTGATTTTACTGTAAATAAATAGGAGAAAAAGAGAGAGAAATTTATTTTAATTGAGATGTTTCAAACGGTTGTCATCGTAATAAATGAATATAATAATATACTTTGCTCGTATACTGTGAGTAGTAAAGTCCACATTGTATTCTAACTAGTCAGCTAAAACATATATTATTGAATGTTCTAAATTCCAGCGGAGCAGTTCAACTCCTACGTAACGTTGAAACTACAAAATGTAAAGTCAACGACAGTAACTGTGAAAGGGGCCAATCCATGCTGGGAACAAGATTTCCTCTTGTAAGTTATTGATAATTTTACACAGATATTCGTTAAACGCAAGAATGTAAAGCACGAGAGAGAGAGAACTCATGAAAAATTTTATCAAATTAAACGTGTTTCAATTAAAAAATTCTCTTATGGTTACTATGGCATTGCACTCTTCGGAAACATTGCATATCGCGTGTGCACCGGTACTAAAATATCTAGGACAGCTAGTAATTTGTGCGCATCTAACAGAATCTGAGACTAATCGCGGTCTTATTTAACTCCAACTCGCGAAATCAATCTTGTCGGTCGACCGATCGCGAATTTTTCGAGCGCAAAAATTTTCGATGAAATTACGAAGGAAGAAACGTGCTTCTTTTTCATAATATGGCATTTTATTATCTTTCACCTTGACAAAACTCTTTCTTTGTTTGAGATGAGATCTTTGGTCCATTACGAGCCTTATTTTTCTTTTTGAACGAGCTATTAAATGGATTATCAGAAGAAGAAGACGATTTTTAAAATAACATAAAATCGACTTGCGAATTAAAAGAGATTATCTCGTTGTTCAATGTTAATTATTACAATATTACGTGAAGTTGTATTGTTTGTATTTGTAATCTTGGATACCGCTCAAGCGGTATTTGACATTAATAAATTTTTGATTGTTACATTTTGTACGTTTAATTTATATTATATAGAGGTTACAAATAGCATAGGTGTTTATTTCACAGCGTAATAATTCTCTTTGTTACCTCGCTGAAATTAATGGAACTTGTTTGTTACGCAGCGAAACGAATGACATGAATGCTGGGCTCGTAATCGAAGTATGGTGCAAGGGATTCTTGTGGGACCGTTTTCTGGGCTACTACTATATTCCACTGTCAGAGGTGTCCTACATGAACGAGGTAATGAGAAATCAGTGCAACTTAAGTCGTACAGAGGTACAGCAATTTGAACGACACACATCGCCCGACATGCGTGATACCAACAGCAACACACAGCCAGACATCATCACTGACACGGTACACCAACTCTTATACATTCGTTTTATACTACACTAAAATAGGTACACCAATACGATCGAAATGAAAACACTTGCTGAATAATTGCTGTATTACTCTGCGTCGTAAACGGCAGCAACAAGTATTCCTTACGATTCGCAATAACTCGATACAGTCGAGACTCATCTCATTTCGCCCGCATTTATTTCTCACCGTAGAGATAAGCCATTTTTAAAAGAATGTCATCGTACAACGAATAACGAACAATTCTTAAGCACTCTCTGCACGTAACAATCTTTCGCGGAATCCGTTCACTCTTTCTCCAGGCACGTTCTCGTCAGCTTTCTTTTAGCGGTGAGCATGGCTTCGCACGTGAAATGAAATTCGATGAGTGTTTGCTCATCGAACGGGGACCAAAATCAATTACTATCTACTGCGTTAGGATCATCCGCCGATTTTCGGTGGAACCGTCGATCTGTCACGCATCATTCTTCGGCTAATGTCTGTCGTTATAGTCCTCTATTACGTCGATAAATCTCGGGCGATTCTTTATCCTTCTTTTTTCTTGCGACGCGCTATAAATCTGAAAGCGAATAGATGGAAGAGGACCACAAAACGGAGAAAACGTCATGCGATCAATCGATGTCATGTCCGATACGTGACTGATCGCGAGGGCAATTCGACCCTATATTATGTTGCACACGTATAAATTGAATTTGCGAAAGTGACGCAACGGTGACCATTTTCCGCCGATACTGATATCGTTTAATTTGCCATGTGTTTTCATAGACGCAATCACGCGCGAATGTGAAGTATCATGTTCAACGAATATGGTGATTAACAATAGTGTGTAATTTACGTTGCTGACGTGAGCAAGCAACGTGGTTGAGATTTACTTTATTTTCTCTCTCCCTTTTTCTCTCTTTCTCCATCTATCTATTTATCTATCTCTCCTCTTCTCCCTCCCTCTCTCTCTCTCTCTCTCTCTCTCTCTCTCTCTGTCTAATGTACATTTACGATGCGTTCATAATTAGCGTGCATAATTAGATATTAATAGCAGCCACGGAGGACCTAATTTCTCTTATCGCCGCTTCTATCGGGTACACTCTCAGGATTTCGAAATGCAAGTTGCCAGAACTTGGGAATGTCAGTTCACGTAACACAAATTACATTTTACTTAGTACCTCATATGGCAAATTGATGTGCTTGGATAGATCTTTTCCACTAGGATGAATGTTTGCGAGAGAGAACGAGAGAGCGACTCGAACGAGATTAAGATCCATCCCTTTTCACTTTGTACCTTACAATACGCCTTTTGAGGTTCTCGAACCGAGATTTTTTCTTACGATTTGCCTCCCTTTATCTTCTTGTCTTCATTTGCACTCGACTGCACTTTGGTAGGGCGATAAAAGTGTGAATTTTCGTTAATTAAATTGTTCAAATGCTTTATCTCAAAGCCGGGATAAAGAAATGCGAGGTATTCACTTATTCGATGAAATCACCCTTTCCCTGGCGAGAATAATAACTCTTTGAAGCGCTCACAGTCATTCTTTTAAACGACTAGACAGAAGTCACTCATGCGCGGTCCGGAAATGAAGAAGCAATTCTCCGTTTCTTTTGTTCCTTCTTCTTGGTTGTTATTCAGATTCCCGGACAACCGCCGAGTGCCTTAAAGTCAATTTCTCGTCGTTCTTCTTATGACAGCACGATCCCATTATCGATCTTATTATCATAAATCGAATAAAAACTTTCTTGTACGGAAAAAAATTTTGTTTAAATATGCCGTTTTTTATACATTGTTTTATCAAAATCAAGCTTGACATATAATTACATTTTTTTAATTTATGGATAGATCATTTATGGAAGCATATATGTATGTCAAAAAATTTGACATATATAAAAATATATAATAACATTGAAAAATGAAGAAAGATGACTAAAGTCACATAGACTTGTTTGGTTTTTCTGCACGAAATGCATCTGCAGCATTTTTCGGTGGAGAATCAAACAAATTAAATTAGAGAACAGAGTTATCTCGAATAGGGTACAATTTGATCATGTGTGAGAACACTACTTTTAGGTACGCTCGACTACTAGTGTAACTTTTCAAGTGTCTCTTTCGCAAAGCTGTTATAAACTCTTTCTCAAAAGTAGTCTGGAAAATTATAGTGGCGCATTGTACGAGAGCTTTTCTTTTTAACGATCAAAAATTTAGTAGGAAAAAAGTGCAGAAAGAAGATAAAATTTTATTTTTAAAAGGTAACTTAAGATTGTCTCTGAAAAAAATCAATCGTCAGTTAAAAAATTTCTTACTTCAAGACTTAAACTCGCGTTCGTACGACTTCTTTCTCTTTCTCGTGGGAAAGAGGTCAAAATCACGGCATCGGCCCCTATCATCCCCCGTCGTTTTCGGCCACGACATTGCCATCACTATCGGCAATACCCGGATCCTCTTTTGCTCGTGACGTCACTTGGCGCGCGGCCAAATCGCGACGCTCAATGAAACATTCGGGGAAGTCGAATCGTCGAGTGGTCGCACGTAGTCTGCCGTAGGTTTACGACGACATTATGCCGCGTGCGCATATGCAAGCGAGCTTTAGAAAAGGCAACGACCTTGGCGAAAAATTCATCTGCCTCTCGCGTTTTTTCCTCGCTCAAAAGAAACCCGGCACGACGACACTTACCAGGCCGGTTCCTCTCGTCGAAGAGACTCTCGTCGCTAACGATCCCTCATTCACATCCACGAAACATGATGTGCGCGCGGCAATTTTATACATCTTATACCTCATATCCATTGCGTTCTTGCTTCCTCGTTAGCCCGTGAAATATTACATTACTCTTGGCTGCGAGACCAAAAGCTGATGACCGTGTGATCTATGATCCGCGAATGCGCGAATACAAAAGCGACGTCGTTGCCTTTTATTCAGCGACGAGAAAGAGAGAGAGACGGCGCGTCAAGACGTTCCCACAAAGTTCTTTCACTCGGTTTTCCGTTTTAAACGGCACGATTGTGGCAACAATGGGAGAGAATCTACAAATCACGCTATAAATCGTCCCTTCCACGTTTCCGGACGATCGACGAACCTTGCGCTCCAGCAGCGCTGACATTCAGCGAAGATAAAGCGTCGATGCGGAAGAGAGAAAAAGAAATAAGTGCATGCGCGCACGTGTGTAAAAAGGACAAAGAAAGCAAGAGAGGAGACGAAGGGACAACACAGGTGCGAGAAGCTATACAGATTTGGTCAAATGGATAAAAGATGACAAACACGAGAGATGATGAAGATCATACAAACTCGACGACGGTATAAAACGTGGGGAGATACGCGACGGGATCAGATAAACGAGCCTCAAAATATCAATGCACAAGATCAGATTGCTTTTCCATGTAACGAGAAGAACGATTGGGGTCACAAGTGCGGCTTAAAATATTTAAAAAGCACGCGAAGTCTATATAATTTAATAATAAATATTAGATGGCAGCTGTCCGATCGTATTGCGAATAATTGCGACTTGGAGCTAATTAATCAGAATGCAGATAGTAAGGATCGTCAATGTTTTATTATCTCACGTTGACAGTGTAGTCGAGTGTACGTGTTACTGACAGCGTTGCCGTCAACGTACGTTTTCAATCTCTTCGTTGTTGGAGCGATCCGGTAGCTCCGGGTCACGGTAGCAGTGAAATTTCGGCTTTGGAGAAGATACTCGCATGTGGAAGACTTCACGCCGACGTGTTATCCGGTAGCTGAATTTCGGTAGCTGATTTAGCACTCGCGAGCTCTCGTCTCATCTCGTCTCCGCGTCTCGGCTTTAATCCGCGAGACGTTGATTAATAGCGCGTCGCGCGCGCATCTCGCGCGACTCTTTTGGTTTTATTCGTTTCTGTCTGAAGAGAGATGGATTTTCTCATTGAAACGGGGCCTCTCGCCACGGTCGATTTATTTTTCGTGATTTGCATTTTCATTAACGACTCGAATTTCTCTCTCTCTCTCTCTCTCTCTCTCTCTCTTTCTCTCATACACACACTCGAGGCCATAACAACAACCTAGATTCTTTTCTACCTCGGCTTTAACGGTCGCCGGAAAAATCAATCGACGGCCCGTTTAAGTAGCTCCCTGACATTTTCCGCTATAACCCGGGAAAACAAGAACGAGACCACCGTCAATTTACTTAGTAGCGGCGGGAAAGAGGCGGGAGCAAAGTGACCTGCGCGTCTATTCGCCGTATGTAATGTGCGAGAAAAGTAACAGCCACCGCTGGCTAAGATGGCTCGAAAACCAGCTGATGGAAAACGGATCCCGGGATCATCTTGGTGATCCACGGAGAATTTCAGACTGATGGACGATCGTACTTTTAGGAAACGGCTCGACGGAAGGAAAGGGGGAAAGAAACGTCGTTGGAAACGGGAAGGGGTTGTCGATCGATCGCACGAGCCGTCTAGGCTTTTCCTCCCCTTCGGCTCTCCTTCTTCTCCACCGGAATCTCCTCGATCCCATCACGTCGCGATCGTAGACACGTGGTCGAGCATTCCCGGCGCGCGTGTCGAGAACAGAATCAGGGGATACCTCCCGAGTTAGGACATTTCGGTGGAATTGTCGTCCGAATGAATGGGAACGAGTTACCTGTTTGCTTTCGACCCAAGAGAGAATGGTAGCTCGTGAGGCCTGTGGATGCAGTCGACCGCTTTGTTGACTCGAGAAATTGACGAACGGCAATCGTCGACGATTCTACTCCGAATGTATTGAAGACGGGAAATCAAGCCAATAAGTCGAGCCAAATTTTTATTCAAACTCAATCGGAATCTCTTATTTTCTCGTGCGTGAAACGAATCAAAATATATATCGTCATTGTTATTGCACATGGGATACATTATGTGTGGGCTGATATTATCGAATAAACTGCCATTGATATTATTGTCGAATCGCCTCTGGTTTATGTAAATATTGTGACATTATAAAGCGACAAAAATAAATTGCTCGAAAATTCTTCTTGTGCAGAATCATTTGGTGACGCGATATCAAATAAATCTATTATGTAAACGAACAGTTTGGAAATTTTTATTACTCGCGAGACGATACTCGATAATACATTTATTCTCGTTTTTTATCGAGAGCTTCTTAAAGAGGACCTTTTAAACTCCGTTTAACGAAACGGGCATTTAATATTATTCAATAATGAGCTTTTTATTAAATTCATTTAAATATTAGCAGTCGTCTCTCAACGATTTAATCTCTTATCAATGTGAACGAAATAATATTTATTAGTGAATGTAGCTATTATGGTAAATATTAAGACAGATTCATCGACCGTGCATAATAAATGGACTCCCAAATAAATAGAGATACGCAAACATTAAACAGTACGTTTATGCAACGAACATATGTGTTTTATTCAAGTGGACAGTCATATTTACAATTATGTATTTTGCATTCCAATTAATTGTATGCCACCAACTCTCTTCTCACCAACTCTTCTTCTCTCTTTTGAATTTATGTATTAATATTCGCAATTATACATCTTAACGAAATCATTTTGTGAATTATAAGTGAAATTTTTTACGACGAGCTTAATTGTGCAATTTCCAGATTAGGAGCAACGAGAACGTTCAAAGATTCTTTTTCACGACAGAAAGACTTAAAACTATCGGTTATTCTCACGGGCATTTCTCCAACGTCGCCATTAATCCACTTCAGCATCCGTCATCTCCGGCCAAACCAGAAGCCGTTGAATTCCGCGCTGCCTCTCACAGGTGTGACAGTGTACGCGTAAGAGTCGTGAATATTTCTGTCGACTGGTAAAGAATCATTGTGCCCCGTTGGACGCTTAATTACACGGGCGTCATGTCCCATTCGTGGGTGCTCGTCAGCCCCGCCTTCACATCGCTCGCAATCACTATGATCACCGTCTTTCGCGACATTGTCGTCGTCGCTGCGATTCTCTTTTTATCGTTGTGAGATTAAAAAACGAGAAGTTTCGTGCGCGAACGAGCCAGAGAAGGATGTAAAAGAGACGAGCGGGGAAAAAAAGACACGGAATCACTAGCGATCGTGTCACGCAGACATCGGTACATCGATGTCGCAGAAACGATGCGTTCCTCCAGCTATTTATCACGTGGAGAAAATAAATGGTGGCACGCGGCAATTTCCCGGCGAAATAATAATTCTACTGGCGACGAAATATGACGGGCTGGGATATGAAGTGAAGAGTGGCAACCGCATACGCGGTTTTACAATCATTCCTCGTTACTTTGACATATTTTCCTTCGTGTGGAAAGAAAAAATCAAAAAATATTGTTCATTTTATTGGGACGCGAGCGAAAAGGGTGTCTTCTTTTCTGCCAGCTTTGTCGGCGGGGACGACAGCCGTTCTGAAAGTCGGTAAATTGCGTGAAAACTCGTTTTCTCCGATCTAACGTCATTGGGAAATCATATCGGTGCTCGATGGAAGTGCATATTGGACTCTCGTAAGTGATCGAGATCAATCGTGGCGTGTGTATTTTCTCGCTATAGAAAGGCAAACGTGTATATATATATATATATATATATATATATATATATATATATATCTTATTCGCTTTCTTACTCCTTCTCACATGATAGGCAGGCTAATTGGACCAGGTCCGAGGAAACAGATTGAAATCGGAAAGGTAGGGGCGACTGATGCGTCACACCAGTTCCCGTCACTGCTAACCTAATTCGACTCTCTTTCAGCATCATCGTAATAGGGCGAAATTAACTGGAACGAACAACCGCACAATCCTCCTTCTTATTTTAGCAACGTTGCAGCGAAGTCGGTTGCAATGCTCTTTCGCACGAGCGAAAGAAATTATAACTTTTTCCCATGATAATAAAAAATTGATCTTTTTCTGCCATACTCCTTCTCTTCGCCCATTAAAATTCTGCAGAATTTCTCGCGTGAAGAAATATAGGTACGCGAAAAATTTACAATATACTCGTGACATTTACCTGAAACGGGAACGATTTCTCGAAAAGGAGAGATTCGTGTCAGGTAAATATAAATTTATGCCCTAATCTCATATTTTCTCTTTATATGTGACGAATAGAGGCGAATTCAGATGTTGTTGTACAGCGAACAAATGGATGGCCCGCTTTGATCTTTAAATGGTTTATCGATTTCCAGTAGCAAAATGCAACTTAGGTCTAATAATAACCGATTATATCTTAGCATCGCGTTTGTTGAGATCACATGTCGGTATCAGAATAATCTTTCGCAATTTCCATCTTTTATCCCTCACTTATGCATCGATTGTAAATAATATTATGTGGCCATTATTTTTCATGTCACGAAAGAAGATAGAATGATTGCAATTACAACTCGTTACACAACGATAACTCGTTCATCATTTCTATTGCTCGATGATATTCATTAGTTCAAAAGTAATGTTGTATCAAATAATATACGTGATTCTCTTAATAATAAATTTACAATCAAGACAATTGATGACAAAATTTGGCCGATGCAATTGTACGAGTATCACTGTTTTAGTGCTTTCTTCAGGCATTGTCAAAAAATTTGGCCGCAATTTCTTTTCCGCTACGATTGTAATTCTCGAGCGATTGTATTTTTCGAGACAAACAGATCCATTCGAGACAGAGTGTCGCCATGGGATTTGTATCTTGTTTTCGAGGAATACTTTTTCGCCGGCAGACATACCACAATCTCGGTGTTTTCCTCGTCTTTGTCGATGTCGAAGCTCACGGCACGTGGACGTTTGCGAAGTTAAAGTTTCTCGCCTTTAAATCATCTTTCAGAAATAAGTTAGTCGATCGTTTATTTTTCCTTCTAGTTTAATTTATATATGCATATTTTTCTTTCTCCGCTGACTTGTTAACGATATTTTACAACAGCGATCGCGAAACTTATGAATAATTTACAAGCTAATCGTTTTTTTAATTATTCCGATCATGGAAATTACGTCACATTTAAATTGTCATTATCTCTCACGTTCGGGAGAAAAATTGATATTTTTAAGAGGAAGAATATTATGCAAAATTTCAAATTGGCACCAACAAAGGTCTTGATCGGGCGTGATTTGAGCCCGAAGATTATAAAGCTTTTAAACCGCTATACCATCGAAGCTCGAAGTTACGCTCACGTTTTTGTTTTACGTGCTACGCGATATAACGCGTTATATGTCGAACTTTGCAGTCGCGATTCTCCAGTTTCGCTCGTCGTCTATTGATCTTTGAGCTTTGTCAAAATTTTTCTAGATTTACCACGATTTCGGTCCAATTTACGTTCATTTTTCGCTTTGAAAAGCGGAAAAGCGGAAATGGAAAAATCGAAGAACCGAATATTCCTCGCCTAACGCTTTTCCTTCTTCTAACGACGACGACGCCAGATGCTGGCGGTGCATATAAACTGCATGTGCACGTCCATAAAGTACATCATATCCGCAATGGCGTAATACCCCATCCGCGTACAGATTAATTCCACACGCCGCGCAAAGAATATGGCTTCGAACGAAGTTATTCCGGTTACATAAATTACACGACGGCTCATATCTAATAATTGCACCTGCTCTCGGGGGTTGCGCATGGATGGGACCGGAATACGAGAGGGAGATTGTCTCGAGTGAATTATTTCCCGCGCTGCCGGCAACGTACTGTTGAAGGTAGAGTGAATAATGGCCGGTATTAATTAATTCATTATTTTATGCACGAACCGTGAGGATACCGCGGCAGTTTCCGCGCGTAGAGTGTACGTGAGTGTCGTTGTAACGATTTTAATAGTCGGTGACCGTATAACGAAAAGTTACAACCAGTCACCACCGAGTAAATCTAGAGAACATATATATAACGTACGTGCATATATCTTCTCGGAAAAATATATTTTGATTTTTTAAAACCCTACGTTTCCCGACATTTCAGGAGACTACAGGACAGTGGGTCAATTTAGGTCTGGAGCTGGAGCAGAGGGGCAATGATATCATCGGTACGAAGAAACCGACCGGTCATTCGCTTTTAATCGACTGCCGACTAGAGCTGCCGTACGGTAAGTGACGACACGATCCGTTAGATTACAGTAGATGATGAAATCGCATGTCTGACGTATGTAATCGTATATACATACATATATATGTATGTATGTATGTATATATGCGAGATATGGGAATACGTTTGGCGTATACAGTTTATCGATGTCACTGTGTTAAGCGAATAGAAGATCCGGGTTGCAATGATTTCTGATTTTCTATGCGAAAATATTCATGCGCATTCCGGACAACGTAATTTGTCCGTCTTTATATCACGATCGAATCGCGCGATCGCATCTCCGATCTACTATTCGCTCATTCGCTCCTAATTCGTCCCTTGAACGCCAGCATGACTGCGTTTTGATCGCGCCATGACTAAGTAAAATTCTGTCGCAAAGCGACAGTTCGCTCTTTACCGCGTGGTATTCATTAAACGCGATGCGATTGCCAAAAGTATGCTTGCGGAGTAGAAAGTTCGACTCGCTGAATTCGAGTCGGCGCCGACAAAGACTCGATCTTCCAATTTCAAGATCGACGAATTCCGAATAGTGTAATCTAAAATGGCGAACGTGAACGTTTCGCGAAAGTACGAAAGTACGAAAGATGAAAAGAAAGTGGCTAATGCTAAGGGATAACTAACATTATCGAGGAAACCGAATATATGAAGCGAAACTTTGAATGTTGCGCGAAAATTACCCGTAATTCGCTTGTAATTGATAATGAAACCTCCATTAACCCACCACATTCATTACGAGAAATCAAATTGAATATGTACTCAAGTTGTTAATTTATAGCTAATTTGTTAATCTAACCGCGAATAAAAAAATTGATAAAAAATCATATAACTAACGAGAAAAAATGTTTCTTTTTAAATGTAAATTCTCTATTTTATAATATATATATATATATATATATATATATATATTTCAATAAATACACACACATTATATATATACATATATATAATTATTTGGAATACATAATAAATCTTAAATGTAAAGTTAAATATTATACATATACAAATTAATTTGATTATGCTATATTTTAAATATCTTTTAAAATAAAATCTAAAACATACATTATTATTACTGCGAACATAAAAGAACGAATAGTTAATCTCAAAAATAATAAATAAGAAAAAATATTAAATGTAAATTGCTCGCTGCGGTTAAATGTAAATTGCTTCGCCATTGTCAGATATCTCCGAGTTTTTTCTTCTCTTCCCATTTATTTTTACCTGCCCCTTTATGACACTTATATAATTCACGCACGCACTTGTGAAAATACAATTAATTATGATCGCGCGCGTATTAATCAGCAAAATATGAAAATCGCGCAGTATTTTGAGCATTATTTTCTCGACGTTAATCACGCGATGATAAATAACAGGCAATTTACATTTATAAATCGATGAAAAATTTAAAATGCAATGTAAAAAAATTTGAATTCAAGCATTAAGAAAATATGATATAATTACTTTAAAGTTATTCCTTACAATCCTCCTCCTTTCTTACAATCAATGATTAACGACGCAACGCAGCGACTATTATTTATAAAAGTGACATCTACTTATTGAAGCAAATATTTCATTTAATGATTTATACATGATGAAATTTAATCATTTAAAAGGAATCGAAACAATAAGGAATTGAAATTATAACTTGTTAATTTTAATTCCAATATTTAAGATATTTAATAATAATATATTATTTCTTTTATGCCTGAATTCTCAAATATCCTCATATTAGCGTCTTAATTTACCATGAAGTTTTTTTTAATAATTTTGTTAATAATTTTTTGCTGCAAAATTAATTGCTTGCTCATCTGGGCGGTAATAATTCACTTGACGTCATAATCAATTTGATCTCGCATGATAAGGGTGCGAGGTTAATGGGGGTGATAAAATACGAGAATCACCAGATGATTTTCTTCATATCACTCAATTATGAGATCGCAATGTCGAGTTCGTGGAGGCGAGAAAAAGAATGACGCAAAAGCTATCATCGACGAGAACTGTTCGGCTTTTTCTCGTCGAGCAAGAGCGACGAGAGGGACGAACTTTTAATTGACTATGTCTACGAATTTGTCGGATCCGCTGCTGGCTCGGCGCCCGCACATTTTCGACTTTGCCGTCGTACTTACGTAGTTACGTGCACTCTCAAATTATTTCGATGTCTGAAATTTGGCGCGATAAAAGGTAACAAGGAAACGGCATATGGTACTCTTGAGAAAATGCCGAGGGATTTCCGAGCAAATGAAGGGGGCTACGAAACTCACGCCTTTGCAAAGTTACGAGTGGTTCTTTCTGTCCGTCTGCAGTTTGCAGCGAGCGAAATTTCAACCAAGTTGCGATCTCATATTTCTCAATATGATATTCAACGGGCTTAAGATCTCTCGTGGGACGTACGCGCGAGGAAAAAAAGGGCCAAGAAATATTCGCAACGAGTATCTAAAGTTTTAATATTTTAGGCGCGCGTGGAAATGTTTACGTTTGCGGTTGTTGATTTTTTGAGGTTTTTCCACGATTCGTTCCTCGCTTCGGCGATTATCAAGCCAGCGAGGGTCCCTTGGCAATTTCCGGACTATCGACTATCTGACGCGCAATTCACGGAGAGTTTTCGGCAAACTCGTAGGCAGCAACAAGTACAACTTTTCCCCCGCATCTTCGCATATATACACATAGAATACACGTGGAATATTCCATTATCCGCGCTGTTTACGAGGGACCGCGAGAGTCCACGTAATTCGGCCCTTTAACCAGGATTGACGTGCTTTTACCTAGTGCCCGGTCGTCGACACCCGCGCGAATCGATACGCTATCGATCCTTCGCGACGACTTCGAGAAGGACTTCGAAAAGGGGCTAATCGTACGTGGCGATTCGCTCGATCGTCTCCCCGAAATGAATTTACGAACACTCGAAAGCACTTGACATTCTTAATACGCTCCGCGAATATAAATTCCGATAGTACGTATATAGACGCGCGTCTTAATTTGTATGCAAATTTTCAGAGATTTATTTTTAGCGCTTAGAAAGAGCTCGTCGCGTTCTATTATCGCGATCAGATGTCGCGTTGAGGGTGCGCGAATATTTTTTTTTAACGTCGACCGATGCTCGGCCCGACGACGTGTACGAATGTTCTGCGTTTCATTAAAGGAGTGCAAATTATTTTTTACCACGCGATGCATTGCTTGACCGTGTTGCGAAATGAAGGAAAACGAGGCCGCTTATAATAAACCCCCGTGGTATACGTGTGGCTAACGCCGTCATTTAGCCGCGTGCTATGGATCTGTTAAGCTCTCTCTCTCTCTCTCTCTTTCTCTCTTTCCTTGTTTTACGCTATTTCTTTTTTCGTCCGCGTTTTCCCGCGGCCGCCGTTTCCGGTTTTTCGATCGCCAACCGTGCGCTGTTTAATGGATTTTTACCGCGCACACAGTACATTTCCCGCCCGCCGGTAATAACTTTTGTTATTGACTTTCTCCGAGAGGAAGAGAGACGTTCGTTTAGCTTGTCATGTAAATAGAATACGACGCGATGTGAAAGAAGAGAGGCGCTGCTTAGGAAAGAAATCGAGAAGACTTTGGGAAAGAGACGCTGAACGGAAGGAGATAATTAAAGTTTATTCGAGAAATAGGTTACTTGTTTGTCGAAGTATATATATTAGCCGATAATATAATTCTCGTGAACTCGTAAACTACAATTCCACGAACTTAAAATATCGAAAGTTGATAATATGATTTCTTCGGAAATTGCAGATAGTAACGACGTCGGTGCAAAATTAATGTCGTACTACTTAACGGATAGTAATGGCGCGTGTGCGACTTTTGCGTTCGCAGCATAATTTCTCTCTACCTTCCCTCATATACTTCGTCCTGTGAAATTGGCGATAGTAACAAGTACTGTCAGATAAATTTTTGTAATTTTAGAACGTACTTACTTGCGAGCTTTCAGGACCAGAAGGAAATTGTCCTATTTATTGCTATAATTCGACGAGGGAAAGGTACGAAAGGAAAATATTGATCTCGCGCTGTCAAAATCTTTTGTGTCTTTTCGATGTGACTCTTTTCCTTTTCTCTGATTACTTTATAACATTTTTCTCGAGTACGTAGTACAGTGTACTAAAATTCCTGTCCTTCCTTTCATCTATGGATTCTTTGATCAGTTTGTAACTGATTTAGGAGAAAAATTATGTTTTTCATCTTTTTCTTAATTGTAAGTATAATTTAGAAATTTAATTTAAAAGTTGGTTGTAATAATTTATCAGGTGTTAAATAGTTTTTTTATGTTTTAATGTGAAAAAGATGTTCGATTAAATTTTCATTAAAAACTTAGATTACGAAGAAGCCACAGATAAAAGAAAGTTTTAGAAAAACAGACTATTTTGTACAGTAAGTATATTTTTTACAGGATTATTTGTAACATTGTTATATATTTTATATAATATTAAGCATTTTTTTAATTGAAGAAAAGACACATTCCAAAGATACGCGTACATAATTGTACGTTGTATTATTTCGCTTTTCCAGCGGCAAAGATTACAATGATAAAAAGAAAAAGTTCGCGTAGCACTTTTGGAAATCGCAATCGCGCGAGATGACACGCGCTGAAGAGCGCAAAACGATGGACATGATCGCCACTCGTATCATGCACATCCACAACCTTCCGTCTGATCAGTGTCTAACCAATCAGGAAAGCGCGTACAACGAACTGGATGGAAAGCCCTGCTAACGAGCAAAACAGCAATGCAGTTGCGAGCAGCCCGGCCCATGTGTGGCTCAGGTACCCTCGTTAAAAGATCCTGATCGTGGGATCGTCGTTGATCGCGAGATCTCTATTTTCGCTTTATCGTCTCGACTCCACCGACCGATCTGCATCCGAGTGCCATGTGAATTGTGATATTCTCGCCGATCGTGGATTTGCGTCTTGTGCTATAAAATTTAACGAATTCTTTATTAAAGCAGTTAACTACGATTAACGCAAAAACCAATTCTATGAAATTATTGAGATAAATGCTCTTTCGAAGAATTCTCTGTAACCAAGATTTATAATGTCTCTGTAAAACTGTGTAATTTTTTTTTAAATCACAAGAACATCAATGCACGCCAATTGCACATATAAAAATCCGAATTGTTGTATCACTATCAGTTGTGTCACTTTTATCTGTTATTTTCGGAGACAAGTGAGTTAAGAATAATTATTTTTAATCTCTCGAAGATTGTATGTGTCAATACGCGTGTCCACGATTCGCGACAAGGAATATTGAATTGATTTGTACGCAATTAGCGTTAACGAACTCCTTTTTGCTCGTCAGTCACTGCACCAGAAACCTCTCTCCTTATTCCGGATCTCTCGGCTTACCTTTCTTTGCGCGTCGCTTTCAATGCGCACGAATTTGCGTCTGCGGGTAACGAGGAACGTTTGTAATCATTTCTGGCGCGAAATAGAACTTGTCGAAATAGGATCGCGCCGAAAGATGGTTTTACGAGGGGCATTCAGTTTTATTCGTACATCGCGCCCCGTTTTCGGATATCTTTTGTCTTCCACCACAGCCAACTCTCCCTTCGGTTCGTTTCATTAACTTAAGTGTTGCTTTTAAGCTTTATATACGTGTACTACGTGCGTGTCGAGAAGAGGGGAAACGGGAATGTATACATCTGAGTGGGTGGTAGTCACGCGACCAGACAGTTGTTCCAGACGTTAACGGCGGACTTTGATACGATTTCATACCTGATTAGCGCTGACTTTAATTACGACATCGCGACGACACGCGCGGCCGTGTTGCTGGAAACCTATCGAAGCCTTTTCACCCCGAATGTCATCGACGACGCGCTGCATCATCGGTCGACGCGACGCGACCTCCCCGTAATTTTCGACATCGACGTTCGTCGATTACTTTTCTCGCGTCTCGTGTGATACGTCGGTTTATCGCTCGATATATCACTCGTCTCGTACGTCGTCGATCAAGTAACACGACACCGTAAAACAAGCACAGCATCACCGCCCCGAATGATCCCCTACCTTTACCACCAGATATCACTGCGTGTGAATCTGTCATGTGTGATTTTAGCGAAAAGAGGTAGGATGTTCGATGTTTCTGCTTTCACGTATTCTCTTTAATTGCCCTCGTCCGGTGCGCTATTATTATTCTATTTTATCGGAAAACAAAAATACACGGTACTATATCCGCAGTAATATTATTGCAAATGAGAAATGAATGATAAAATATTTCCCATGCGATGCTTTATTTTCAATGAGTATTATCTGACGGTGTTGGTGAAGCAGTCGCCGAACGTTACGTGCCTTTGAAACGAGCACCGTGTTTTTTTTTAGTGATGCACGTAGTGAAAAATTTGCTAGAATTAACAAATGGAGAAACAAATGAAATTGCGGAAAGTGATCCCGACGAGTACAGACAATAACGATTTTTATTCAATTTTAACCACTATGCGTTTATTTGATAAATATGCGTATCTGATTTAATTCCAAATACGATTTGTTCGAATTATTATATCTTCAAATATTTGTTCATTGAAATATCGTTTCGTTCTTTTTTTGTTATGTAATCAGTTATTTGCCAGCCTCTGTTTCCTTACTTTGAATCAGTTTAATATCATTTTAATTAGCTTTATTATACGCACTGATGGATATTATTACGGTGAACTACATTATTCTAGCATACGAGTACGTAACTCATTTATAATGTAGAGAACCTGAAGTTACGTTTTTTAATTATTTAATTGGAAAGGAGATGAGCTTCAGATGTTTATTATATCATATTTTAGAGAAAAAAATATGATCGTAAAAAATATATAATAATATACATATACATATCAGCCCGCAGATATTCGAGAATTATTATTTCATTTGTATGTCCTAATTTTTTTAATAAGTTTTATCAGAGAAAAGAATAAGTTTTGCATCGCGATTGAATAATATGATAATTCTTCAAAAGCACATCTCAGCACCTTGTTCTTTCGAGCGCTGCATTTTTGCGCATTGCATTTGTTCAATTGGTCGATATTAATTTGAATCGACTGAAGACAAAGGAGATATTCTCTCTTCAGGTACATCTTTTTTTTACGAGCACACACACTTATTTCCGGAGCACCATCGCACGTGCACGCAGTGGCGCGGCGATAGCACAATAAGGGGGGACGAATTTCGAATGAGCTAAAGAAAATGAAGAAAAAGAGACCAGAGATTCTATTGTCCAGTGTGTTGTTCTTTCAAGTAACGATACATGAAAAAGAGAGGGTACCTGCAGATACATTAAGCTATGGCTGCGACACTGTAATTAACGACTGTTCGTAGACACTTGTTCCCCTTTTTCCGCTATTTCCGTCTCTCTACCTATATATCTGTTTTACGTAACTATATTTGTATTTTGTAATTAGTTACACGAGAATTGTGCTGTGGCATTATTAGTAAAGTTAACATCAGAATATCACAAACAAACCACGATGGGGGAGCAATATCAATATTAGTGGTTAGTACACTGTCCATCGTTAAGTACAAATTCATTCGAATACGATGACGGAAGAGCCCTTATAGTTTAATCTTATTCAAGCATGAGCAAGCATTGTGGAGTATGTACCTATTCTTTTCCTCCGCGACCGTTCTCTCGCACAATGAAGACGGTATTTCGAAAGAGACACCTCTCTGTTTCTCGATGAAGCTAAATTATTTTTGTTCCATTTTTCTTGAAAGTTTTTTTTGTTATATAAGTGCTAAGATAATAATATAATTTATAGATATAAGATTGTTATTATAACATTTCTTTTTAAATTTGAATGAAGAAGAATTATTGTAACCAAGAATATATCATTTAATTTATAAAAAATTCTCTTTAATTTTTAAAGAGAAGATTGACAAGACATGTGTACACATTGCTCGAATAATATTACGTATTATAAAGGGAAGAAGGATTCTATGTATTTGAGATGCGTACAGCGTAACATAAAATACCTGTTAGTGTAATGTTTGATGTGCGGAACACGTATCTTGTGCACGATGTATATCCGACTTTCTTGCTTACAAAAAAGTTAAATTTGGAATGGAAGCTAGCGGTCGATATATATATATATATATATATATATATATATATATATATATATATGTATATATATATATAGGACAGAATAATTAAATGAGACATTTCTTAGTTAAATGAATAAATTATATTATCGCTTGATATTGAGATATAAATCTTACGTAAAGTTTCTCTATACATCTCTCCCTCAAATATTTTCTCATATATTTAAATTATATTAATAATCAATTTTAGCATTGCCTGCAATTATATATCTTAATGATTTTTTACTATTGAGAAATATTACCCGTCAAAATCGAAATTGTCATAAGATTGGGCAACAATCGGTACGATTCGACGATATCGTTTATACTTTCCAGACTAGCTCATTAATATTTATTTCGACCATCTATCTAATAATTGACAATGTTCTATTTATATGCCTTGTATTATTTGAAATGGACTAATTGCATGCTTCTGCTCAGCCACGTGTGTGGCCGGGCACGAAGGGGCGAACCGGATATATGGAGTTAGAGATAAGAGCGACGAGGGGTGATGAATAGAACGAAGACGACCTTCCGGGGATTTAACTTGCCAATAAATCCTTACCTGTATTGCTTGCCAGTATATAAGGTGACCCGTTTGAAACCAAATACACAATTCACTTTTGGTGTTATTTTAAACGCTTCGCTTTTTGTAAAAATAATCTGAAGTAATATTGAACTTTTAATAACCTATATTTTTATAAACAATATTATACAGATTGATATATTAAAATGAAAATAGGATTACACGATATAATAATAGATATTAATTGTTTAATGTGATAATTTCTAAAAAAATGCTATAATTGTCGAGTTGTTTTGAAATTAAATTTGCTATTTTATTTAGCAATTTTTTACAAAATGATAATAATGATAAAATGTCTGAGAAGATTTCAAGCGTTTCTCCAAACGCTTTATATTGACGCAGAAAATCTTTTCAATCGTTTACACCGACAAGAGACGTCGGATGCCCATTTAAAGTCAGCTGAAGCGATTCTCTAAAGTCGTAGAAGAATCAATAGAGTCTGCTTGAGAAGCAGCGGTAACGTGGTATAATTTCTTCAAGCGGCGATGGTACATGAAGAGGGTGGGAACTACGGTTTCGGCGCTCTATTGTGTGAAATTTATTTCGTTTCTTTGAGAATCCCGCGAGAAATACGGTCTCTCTTTCGATTCCGGAAGGTCGCTCTACGTAATTATGCACAGAGTTAAAAGTGACTGAGAAAGTTCAACAAAATTTCTTGCAATTGAAATTGACAAATGACACGTATACGGAATATTTAATGGATAATATAAATAGAATTGTTAAAATTTGTAGAGATAAAAGGAAATGTAAGATAATTGAGATTTCCTGTGTATTATTATATCGATATGTAAATCGTCGCCAATTATATTTGATTGCGATATCGACGCCAATAATCCTTAATTTAGCTGCTTGAACGTGAATGATTTTCAATAAAGTAACAAAGGAGATAGTGAGCAAAGCAGAGATAGAAAAAGCAAGCATTGAAATGGAGATAAGAGTGAGAAAGAAACGAGATTTTTTTCTGTTTCCTCTACGCGCGTCATCGCGCGTTGTCGCTCAAAGTTTGTTAATATGTGGGTGGCCAGCTGTTACTGTCACGCCATTACCGGCGCCTGCAGTTGCAACATTGTATTTATTTCATCCCGTTCAGCTGGGAATACGAAACAACAGGAAGGCGTGTCGAAAATGCGAAGCCGCTTTTTTTTCCGACTACCGCGTTATGATTCTCTGGGTGCAGCTGGGTGTAAGTTTTTTTTGCATTTAAAAGAGACGACAGAGAGTCGGCGCGGTAGAAACGGACGAAAGAATCGCAGGGTCGAGTAACGAGGGTCACCGGAAAGGAGAAGGATGGAGATAGCCGCCGAGGTTGAGGTAGATCCGAAACGAGTGCCCTGGTTCTCAAAGGAAAGTAGAACTCTTCCGAGACGACGCGGAAAATCTCCTCCAGGGCTTGACCCTTTTTTTAATTGCATCCAAGAGAATAGGCGACGAGAAACCGGGAAAATGCGTTCTTCACGGTGCACAGCGGCTAGTTGAGCTGATCATCAACGTTCAACAGAAATTGCGGAAGATGCATCGCAAAACGCATGCGACTTTATAACGTCTGCAAAAAATGAAATGCAAAGTATATATGCCAAGGTCGCATATATTGCAACGACCGATTATTTTGCAGCCGAAAAAAGCATCTGTATTAACTAAGACATCGACATTTGCAAGTAAAATTGCGAGAATTAAATGCTACAAGAAAAGCATAGAAGATGCGGATGAAATAATAAGTGCGATCCATTTTGGAGTAACGCCAACAGGGACGTACTTTCATCATGACGCTGCGTACGTATATTACATCCTAAATAGCCGATCGAAGTGCTAGTTAAATGGTAGATTCTCCTTGAAGACAGAATGAGAAGCGCGAAGATGACGCGGAAAATTGATGCACTCAGTTTGCTCGTGGAGTAAACGCCGAGACGGTCGTCTTTTTCTTTCTCTTTCTCTCTTCCACCGGGAAATATTCTCTAATGTCGTCAGAACGGTAGAATTGTTGACTGGGATGGGGAAGCTCGCGAGCGGTAGTCCCGTAATAAATCGGCCTGGAACTCTGGAAGCGGCGAGTCGCGTTGTCGTAGCTTGATAAAGTTTACAAACTCTCCTCGGAGTTTATTGGTTCAATATGTAATTATAATAGAGAGGAAGGAGAGAAAGACGAGAGAGAGAGAGAGAGAGAAAATAACGCCAGAAGTTATATTATTTATACAGGGTAATCTAGTGTAGTTGCTCTTTCTAGACTACTTATCTAGATTTGCGCAATTTTCGAGCAATGTGTACATTCGAATCCGGTAAACAGACACGTTTTATAAACATTTTATATTTTGTTTCACGTCAGTTAATGAAAAATGTATAGTTGCACATAAGGATTAAATAATATATATTCCACCTAAATTAAAAATCTCTATAGCTACTCTTCATCGCGAGCTCGTTAGATATACTAGTGAAACATTATTATAGATATGTAGGCAGTGTGTATATTGAATAATTTATTTATCTTTCTTTTCGTGAGAGAATCTCTCGTTGGTATCTAAGTAAACTTAGGATGACAGATCGACTGAAGACGTCAGATTATCGAGACTCGCGATTAACTGTTTCCCCATCGATATCTATCTTTTCGAAAGACCCCGAGAACACGGAGGCGGCCGATCTGCAGAGGAAGCTGGAAATGCTGAACAACATGATGGACCAGGAGGCGCGGGCCGAACAGGCACGAAGGCAGATATTATACAATATAGGCCACTGTAAGTACCGTCCAAATTACAGTTTAGATGGCTGATATTTCATTCGAATGCTCTTTGCGGCGAGAGACAAACGTCCCCCGATCGATTTCATCTCTCTTATCCGGCATATTTCGCTCGCGATATATCGAAGAATCTGCTTTTCCTTCCCTCCGAGGAAATTTGATTCGCGGCGAATCCGAATAAATGAAACGCACGCGTCTTCCAAGAAAGTTAGAAATCTTTATATCGAAGAAATCTTTATCCGCTCTCCTTGTGAAAGAGTCAGCTTTATAAAATAAAAGCGCATATATTGGATTATTTCAATTTCAGTTTTATTCAAAAGGATCTGCGCACGATATATCTCTTTTCGCTTCCTAGCTCGCCGCGACTGATCCATGATGCACCCTTACTACTTTCCTGCGCTGAATCGTTCATGGACCATTACTACTCGCGTTTTATTTGAACTCCGAGAAGGCGCGATACGCGAAGAGAGATTGAATTGTCGTGCTTGGATACCGCTGTAAAATTTATATCGCGAGCGTTAATTTACTGCAGCCTACGTCACACAACGCTTTCATCTACACGTCTGACATACTTGCAGTATTTTTAGAAACCGTGGCTTTCTAGGTCGTTCGCTCGAACGCTACTTCCGAGTAAGTCATAAAACTTTTACGCCCCTGTTTTTTCATGCGAGAAATCAATTTAGTTTCGTGTTAGTCCCTATCTACGATCGGGACTGTACGCCGTTCTTATCCACGGAGAATATGTAGAGATGTACTCTGGAGAGAAATAGGCATAAGGGACGCCATTTCATATGTGTTATCGGCCATCGACGTATATCGTCGGTAACTTACCACCCTTGTTACTCCCTTTCTAGTAACCCCTTTCTAGGAAGCCCATGTAACAGCTATGAGACGGCATGCAAGCAGACTAGCTCTCTCTCTTCCTCTCTTCCTCTTTCTCTTTGTACTGAATAGCTCATTGATGTCTGGCCGATTTTTCTGTTCTATGTTTTTGCAAACGTTCCATTAATACCTTTTGTACGGTAATTTGCATTTCTACCAGTCTCAAATTTCCAGAAAGAGAAAAAAAGAGAAACACACACGGGTCTCCTGGATCCTCCAGGAGATCGAGAGGATGCCTACGTAAAGATCAATTTGTCGCATGGCTGTTAATTATACTCATCTTGCTTCCTGCTATTGCACCACTTCAGTTCCCGGATTCTACCAATATCGACCAATTCTGTCTGTGGGAAGTTGCGAAACTATCACGACGAAGTTGGAATTGGCTTCGCGTTTTGTTCAGAGAATAGCTAAGTTACGATGCCGATGTGAACGTGCAGACGTAATTTTATCAAGCGTATTATCGAATTCGGTATAGACGAGGCTGTGAGAATTATTGTAAAATAATTTGCATTTCTGTCTATTCAAAGTATGACTTTTGTTTTTCCTTTCAGTTATCTATGCGCCTTTTGTTTCCTAGCCGTGTCAGTTGCAGGAATATAAATAATTTCGGCACAACGTGCAGAAGCGAGGCGATATTTCGATATCTATGCACTTCGATATGCGAAGTTATCAGGGCATTATCAGGGGCGTCGTTAATATTTTACTCCAGTTTCTCCGGATCATTTTCCACAGCACAGACTATACTTTGTAATCCATTTTTCAGCGGGATACTCGGAGGACTCTGACTACACGTCGGACTTGAATTATCCAGTAGGTGGACAGGGCGCGAACAGCTCGGCCTCACAATTTCGTACGGCGGCTAACCAATTGGCTACACCTCAAAGATCCCTCGAGACGTCGCGAGAAAATAGTTACGAGAGAGACGATCATCAGGTATTGATCGACGACGGAATCGCAGAAAAGTTTGCACGGAACACTCGCGAATCAAATAAATATATGAATATTATTGAACGACATCTCCGACATGTAACGATTTTATTCATTTCAATTATTCGTAAGAGAAGTAAAGAGCCCGAAACGATTGGACTGTGTGTCAATTAAATAATCAACTGTTCCAATTATATTCTCGATTTATATTCTCTTATATTCGCTAATTACACGACAGTAAATTAAGAGGATAACGTTGCCAGGTTCCAGTCACTGTCGGAGGAAGGCTGGCGCCTGGTAATTATGGAAGTTACGGGGGTTCGGGCCATAGTCCGAGATACGACGAGCCATATCCGGAGGATGGTCTACCGCAGAGATACTTGCAGACCCAGCAGCACCCTTCAGAGTCTTCCGAGCCACTCTTTTACAACAGTAGACCGAAGCACTACAAGGAATACAGGTATTATAAACGAAACGAATTGTTCACACGACTAGTATGCTCAATTATAATAAATCAATATATTTAATTATATAATAATTCAATATATATTTAATTATATATTAATTCAATATATATTTAATTATATATTAATTCAATATATATTTAATTATAATATACTTATATATTACAACATAATTATACTCAACAATGAGATAATAAATTAAACAAATATTGACGGTTCTCGCACGCGTTAATTTACGGCGCTATTTTGTGCAAAAATATGTATAGCGTTTGTTGTCTATGCAACAAATTGCGCATAGTTTTATAAGTTTATAGAAATTGATGTGACGGAAGAAAATCGTTTATTATTTTCTTGCCTGATTCAGACGACGGAAGCACACATGGGATTACGACGACAGGTACGAGCGCGGTTTCGTGAGGATTTCAATGACTTTTATTTCTATAGCACTACTCGCTCACGCATACGTGATTATCAACTTCATCTATCATGTTTTGTTCTTACCAAGCATATCTCGCATAGCACCATTTCGCGCATTATCGCAATGCTGGGTTAGCTTGTACGATTGCATTGCACTCAATTAACCATATGCAATTGCAAACGCATCGATCGCAACAGTGATTACAACTCAAGTGAACTGTTCATTATAATGTAGGCCACCATTATCAAATGTTTATTTTCAAGCATTTATGTAATGTATATAAAAATTTTATGTATAACGTTATAAAAAATAATATTCACACGCTTTACGATTACTTTATAGATTAACTTTTTTAATTTATAGTTTAATTTTATTTTAATTACACATGGCTTCATGCTACTGGTTATTTAAACATATATAGTTTAAAAAAAGGGATTGAATTTTTAGAAAAGATTATGTAAATGTCATTAAAAATAAAAAAAACATGAATTATTGAAGGCATTAATTAGCAAACTCAAAAGACGAGTTAATCAATTCACAGGCATTTGCATGATGCAGTAATCGCAACTGTGATCACTCAGAAGATTAATAAAAGTCCTTTATCATGAGTCATATCATTCACAGCTCAATTTCTCATTCCTGATGTGATCAACGTTTTTTGATCGTTATCTCATGCTTTCAGCCAAGACGGCTGGTACAGTGAGGGTTATGATTATCAAGGAACAAAGGTCGACGACGCGAGGATTTATAGCGATACTGAATACTACTCAAACAACACGACATCTACAAAAAGACGAGGAGCAAAAGGTAAGATCTAATTATAAATGCACTGCAGATTATTAAATAAAGTTTTCATGTTTTTTTCCTATCTTTCATTTAATCTTTTCTTTCCCTTATCTTTATGCGTTTATTCCAGACGCTATATTTATTTGTTACATGTACAATGATAAAGTATATTATGTATTAAATAAATCCACATATTTCTTTATTAAGCTTTTTTTTTAATTTTATCGAATATTTGTTATAAAACGTTAGTAATGAAAATTTCTTTATTAAATCTTCTCTCTCTTATCCTTATGCATTTATAAATTCCAGGAACTATATTGAATTATACGTAATGATAAAATATATTAAATAAATTCATATATTTTTATTATTAAGCTTATTCATTTTTAGTTTTATTGAATATCCGCTATAAGATAATGTCAAAGACGAAAACCAATAAGTTTAACATTTCTGCTTATATTTTTCAAGCAATTCCATACAGAAGACCGTCTCTGGAAAGACAAATGACTCTATATGACGATCACTCGTATTACGCTGATGGATATAGCAGCGACGGCAGAGTGGGTAAAATGAGCGCTACATATCCGGAATGCGAGACGGATATTAGATATAATGAATACTACGACAACATAACGGGATACGTCTATCAAGATGAGAGGTAAATCAGTAGAGCAGTAATAAACTGCAGATTGAAACGATAAAAATCATCGTTGAAGGAACTAATCTCTCCTTTTTTATAGATACGGTCAGGACGACGAGGACAGACAATGGGACAGCGGAGGGAAAAGGCACTTGGGAACGAGCACGTATTATGAAAATAAGCGAAACAGAAAGACGCTTCCACAGAGACCAGCTTCGAGCATCGGTATACATCGGCCAGATTATAGACCCACTGTTACTAGACAGCGTAGTTACGAATCAGAAGAACTCGACTACAAGTACGTCATTTCGGAAAAGGATTATATTTATTATACATTTTTCCTCGTTTTTATTATTTCATTTTAATTCTGGAATGTTTAAATACGTTTAAAATAATATTTGGTTGAAAGAGACGGATATATATTTAGATATATATTATACGTTATAATTAGATATATATTGCAATTCTTACTGAATATTCTTTGTAAAGCGGATACAATACTCGTCGCCGGAAGATCTTGCAGCCGCAGCAGCGTCCGATGTCGCGGCAGGAGGGCGGCACCGGTAAGAAACTACCTCCGACCCCGACCAAGCCGAGCAACGTTGTAATCAACCGTAAACTCGCCTCCCTGCCCGCCACGCCGAGCAGACAACTGCCAAAGACCCGAACGCCCTCCGAGGAAAGCTATTACAAGTCTGATTACAACGAGGACTATAATTACGCTTACCGTAGTCAGGATAATCTTCCACAGGATACGTATACGGAGAACATTTACAGTCAGCAGCAAACACAAAACAGCTACGGACAGCAAAGTGCTCAGGTGGATCAGGTGCACGTCGCTAACAAGACTCATTACCCTGAGGTAAATCAGGTTAATCAATACGGATACGCAACGGTTGACGGCCAATACGACCAATCGTATCCGGAGCAGGAAACACAGAACAGCTATGGAGAGACATACGCGCAACAGAATTCGTACAAGGACGAGTTCCAGCAACCTTACGAGCAACAAAACGCTGAAACGTATCGTGAATCCTATTTAGATACGACATATCCGATCGCCAGCCAGGCAAATGATCACCAGTACACGAATCAGACGAAAAATCAATACGACAAACCTGACGGTATGATAATCGAGGATAATTATCATGAGATGGGTTTCAATCAGAACAATATTCAGTATCACCAACAGGATTATAAACAGCAGGACGTTTATCAAGAGCAATACGATGATTATAATGTCACCACCGTGCCGTCGAGCGTTTATGATCAAAATAATGTGACGAATACATATAATCAGTATCAACCGGAGCAGTACGATTCCCAATATAATATCAATACGTCGACCGATTATCAGAAGACTTATCAAGAAACGTACAATCAAGTGCCTGTTACATCGCAGGAAAACTATCAGGAATCTTATACGAAGCCGCAGGAAGATTTTGTAAATTATCAAACGCCATACAGTAAACAGGAAGATGTGCCTACAACATACAAGAACAATTATCAGGAATCTTATCAGGAAAATTATCAAGAGATATACGATGAATATCCAGACTCTTATCAAGGATCTTTCGAGGAGCAGCGTTACAAAGAAAGCCCAAGAGAGACGGCAACAACGACGGATAGAAGGCAGAGCGAAGTTCCCGAGCTCTCCGTGACTACGCCTCGTGGACAGACAAGAACGAATGGCTATCCGTCGAGCGAATCAGAATACATTTATCAAGAGAACGAGGACGCGTCGCCATTGAGCACTTCGAGAAGGAAGAAGCTTGGCAATAAGCGCGAAGCCAGCCCACTTCTTCAGCAAAACACGGACTCACTCGAGTCTAGAGATGACGAATTAAAGGATTCGTTTGAGACTGCTGTAAGTTCGGTCAGCAGCAATCAGTTGAAGAAGGGATATAGCGAGTATTCGACGGCCGGTGATTCAAGTCCCGCAGCCGTCACTTTGGTAGATTCTTTGCCGAATGTCGCTCAATCTCAAACGACCACGATGGTCAATCACGTGACTGCCAATCACGTAACCACAACCGCAATGGTTCATACCACGACGAATATCGTGAACGGCAAACGACCATTAGCCAGAACGGATTCCTATCAGGAGGATATCGTCGAGGACGAGGAATACCCGGAGATTATTCCCAAGGAGCCACAGAGAAAAGACTCGCAGCTGTCGCATCAGAGTCAGCTCAGTCAACACTCTCAGTCAGCGACGCAGAAGCCGAAGCTCACTAGAGGAGACTCTTATGCCTCAGATAATTTCCCCGAGGAGTCTTACAGTCGTAGAGAATCGTACTCACAGTTGCCCAGAAAAGATTCTTTCTCGTCGACTACCGAAGGATTCAAGCCGCCTCTTACCAGAACCGATTCATATCAGCAGAGAGAATTACGAGGAAACAATTACGGACAAAACTTTACCGCGCTGCAGCCCATTTCTAGAGCGGAAAGCTATCAACGCGGTCACTTTAAGGATCAGGAATCGATAGATCAGAGCGACATCGTTCTGAGCAACGCGATAAACGGGGACTATCAGATGCGGGACGAGACTCTTGAGAGGTATAAAATTAAATTGCAATACCGTTGATATTTTAATTTGTATGTATACAATAAATTCGTATTATTGCCGAAGGTACGAACGAGGTGAGGAAGCCTTGCTTCGTAACTCTCGAGAGGACTCATTGGAACAATATAAAGGGACCCCGTCTTTGTCGCATATTGACAGTCCGCGCGGTAAGGAAATATCTTATTAATTATTGAACAAATCAAACATAGGAGATTATTTAATAATTTATTAATCTATCAATCGGTCGACTCAATTTCAGGGAGCATAACTAAGCAAGCGTCACTGGACGAGAGCGTTCAGATGGACACTCCGCCGAGAAGTCCACCGGAGCCGCCACCCGATGAGGAACTGCTAGAGATGGTCGGGGTCGCGCCCGTACCCACGCAACTGAAAGAACGTCCGGAAATGACGGCGAGACAACGCTGGCATTGGGCGTACAATCAGATCATCATGCAGCTAAACGTACGTAAAGTTTACACTCTTTAAAATTGCGAGCGAATAAATTAATTATTAATTAACGAAATGGCATAATGGCGATTAAAGATCGAGCAGACTCACTTTCAACTTCTCCGCGAAAGAATTTTCTTATTTTTTAAATGAAACGACAATAGCGATTAAATTGAGATTTATGCGAGGCTTGAATGACGGTCAATGACTGCAGCGACGACCTTTGAAAAAATGCAGTGATACCGGCGGCCCGCATAGTCCTTCGCGAAGGCTGGCCTTGTCAATCATTACCTTCGCATAATGTCGATCACACATATAGACAAGCTACGGGTTTTTTGCTTTGTCGCGCGTTTATGTGTTAATTGCTCAAGGCCGAAAGGTCGCTGGTAGTGCATTGATCCCCATCGAATACATTTAATCAATGAATACATTTAGGCAATGAGGTTTAAATTAGGCAAAATAGAAACTCGTCGATTCTATCTCTGTACAGGTATATCTAATTTGCATAAATTAATTTTCCTCATATATCTTGCGCTCGCTTGCCCGATGTGCCAATGTGTCATGATGATTGATAGAACACTGGCGACATTATCATTAATGCAGACCGGGGAGTCGCCTTTTATTGATTGGCAGAAAAATGTTTTTCCGGTGACCAGAAACAAGACTCGACGATATACATCAGCATCGTACATACATACAGCTGCGAAACAATTGCGCAAATAATTTGCCAATGTCGGATAAAGAAGCGTGACGTTATTTTCCAAGAAGGATGAGGTGAACTTGTAAAAATGATCGAGTATTCGCGTGACATATCGATAGCATCGTTTCACTAAAATGTTCGCTTTATTCTTGAGTTCACTCGAAACACAGTGATAAGTATAAGAGTCACGATATACGCGCATTACAAGGCATTACGGTATTTTTTTCCCCTTTTTTTCCCCACGAGTTTCCTCGCGTGAAACTTATAACTCCTGATGAAGACATATTTCTCCTTGAGTTTCATACACACCGACATTTCATATCGTACTAATCAATGATCGTTAAATGTTATTACCGTCATACGCTTTATTGATTTAGGTGCGAGACGACATAAAGTATCTCGAATTATCGACGCTCATTATCGTTTAGGTATCGCCACTTGAAAAGTGTAGCGCTCGTCGTCGTATCATCCGGTACCAGATTATCGTCTGGCTTACACGAAACTTCCATTAACGCAGTCTTGTTGGCCCAAACGAGAGAATCGGAGTACGCATCTGGCGCACTCTTGGGAAAGAGAGAGCCGCAACGGCAGTCGATATATGGTCGAGAAACTTTGGCGGTGATGGAAAATGTAAATTTGCGCGGAGTCGTGGGCGAGTGAAACAGGCAGTTGGAAACGATTGTTTGTTTTCCTCTTTTATGACTTGGAAATCGCGCCAAAAAGGTCGCTTCCTCTGGTAATTGTTACAATCAACAATGGTTCAAATAAAGCTGTCAATTTTCAAAGAGGCTTATGTCGCCGCGCGATATCGCGTAAAAAATGCGATTTTTTTTTAAGAAAAATAAAAAAGCGCGAAAAGAATCGGCAACATTAGGAAACGTGTATGCAGTATTTAGACAATCGTTTCGCGAGTAAATGCGAATTTTTCGAGCGCAAGAACAACGGTCAAATTTAGTTGCTATTCTTGCGGAGATCAATTATCGCCCTTGCGTGTCCTCGCACATTCGTTTTCGTATTTCGCTCTCTCGTTATTCTCTTCGCTGCCCTCTCCGTTGCCGATTGCATGTCCGCCGGAAGAACTATCCTCGGCGGAATAATTGTCCTCCGGGAAACAATTAGGATCGATTTGCCCGAGTATTAAACCGAGTGCGAGGAGTCCCTCGGGTACGATTTTCACGAGCAATCGCGAGTCATACGTCTCTAAATTCTCGAAAACAAAACATTGTCGTCGCGATAAAAATCTGATGATGGTGGCGGTTATTGTCGGTGGCACGTTTTGCAAACTTTGCGCGATAATTACTGGATGTGGCTTTTTTCTTCCTCTCCCTTTTCCTCCGCGAGAATAATGCTCGGATCGCATTAGCGCGACGACATTTCGACGGCGAAGAAATTTTTCTATTGCTTGGAACCGGGCTCTCGCAAAAGCGATTTACAAGAGCTCGAGCGACGTGTTCCCGCACCGTATTTTTCCCCTTTCTTGTTCTTACTGATAAAATGGCTTTTACGTGTAGACACGTTCTTATACTTGATCGTGGTCGCCGGATAGCCGCTACCATCGCGCCGGATTTCACCGTCGCGTCTCGCGCTGCCGCATTTTTTTATTATTCACGTAAAGACGTACGTTTCCATACTCCGACCGCGTTCACTTTGCATTTTATATATTCGGATTCCTCTGCGTCCCGTACATTTTACATTCCATCGTCGAACGCGTCTTGATAAAGGCGGCCTTCCTCTTGCCAGTGTTCCATTTATTACGCACAATATTTGGCGCTCAAAACGGGAATAAAATTAAAATTATTGTATATTTATTATGAAATACTAACAAGCATACACGAGTATAAAATGCATCTTCATGCACATGTGTAAATATTTTACATTATAATTTTCCGTCAGTTAGAATCACGTTTAATAAACCAATATTTATAATATTTGTAATTTATGTATTTTAATGAAATTATAAATACGTGTGTCAAGAAATATTATCGGCAGCGTCAAAGTTTCATACGTGCAATTAAAATAAATCGCCGCCGCTTTTAACAAATTGAAAGCGACACTCTCGAGCTTGTAGACGCGTATACGCGCGATAGGACCTCGTAAAATGTAATCGATGTAGGTCAAGCCGGTGGCCCGTGTCATAATCAGAAACCCGTATGATTGCCTCGTTCGACGGCGAGGAATTGGTATCACCTTCGCGACAAGGTCTCGCCTCCCGCCATTTACTTATCGCGGTTGGCGCCTTGTCAACGCGCACTTGTCAACGCGAGCTGAGCATTTTCCTTCCAGTATCGTAGTTACAATCCCCGACGACTACGAGCGTGTCGATGTCGCATAAAAGATGCCCGTAATCGAAGGGGACGATACTTTATCCCGCTTTTTCAAGTTCTCTTCAAGTTAGGGCTCTCTTCTGGCTCCAAGTTAAGCACCTACCCTTGACTACAACGAATCGGCGAACGAAAGAGGCGGGGCGATTGTATCGATCGTTATTAGGCTTTTATTAGACGGAAGTGTTGTCGGGTGCCTCGCAAAGGGTACATCTGCACGGGGGGTCGTGTTAACTTAAGTGAAAATACCACCTAGCGATCCGACCGAGGGAGACTGACCACCTCCTTCGGCTCGATTCCCGTGCTCGGATCTTTTTAGCGAGTGTGATCGTGGAACTGGCCGAAAGAGGATCTTTCTTCGCGCGTGAGAAACTATAAATTCGCATCAAAATAAAAAGTCGCGTCGCGCTTTTCAATTTTCAAAATGTCAAAGGCATGAAAAATTTATATATAAAATATAAAGGACTTACCCCGAAAGAGAAATTATGACAAAGAGGATAAAAAAAGAAGAGTATGAGGTCTGTGAATTTTATACATGTGCAATGAAGATAAATGCGACGAGCTATAAAGAAAATAATGGGTTACGTATAAGAAACTTTTGTCAAATCAAAGTACAAGGATACAATTAACGGACGATGTGAGCAAAACTCGATAATCACAGAAACGGATATCCTTAAATATCAGACCGGATATGAAACTATCGCAAAGATAGCAATATCTTTGACGTATAACCGCAACATTTGTTTCAATATTTTATTCATTTCTGTATAACGAAATACTGTGTTCAAATCGTTGCGAACGACGAGAATATCAAGTGACTCTTGTGTTGCTCGGAAAATGATAATATTCCGACGAATTGAGTTTTCGATTTCCACTGAAACAAAAGAGCTATTTTATTGAGTCTCTCTAGTCTATCAGTCTCTCAAGAGGAAGGAGGAAAAAAGAGATACACAATGGAGACTCGGGAAAAGTCGACGGAATGGGCTTTATTGTTCCCTCTGAAGGCGGGTCTGTTCGCTATGAAGTCATCGTTATCCTTGAAAAGCGTGAATCGCAGCGAGAAGGAGAACAAGGAGAGATTTTTGAAGAAAAGTTTTCAACCACGGGCAAAAATACGTCGAGGATCGTCCCTGTCGGACCTGGACAAGCTTCAAAGCAAGAGGAGTCTGCCGGACGTTGTAAAGTCGACGGAAAAATGCTCCGAATCGCTTCCGCATTCGCCTGCTTTGTCCCGAACGAATCTTCAGCTGGGCAGCAACAGCGTGAGAGGCAGCATAGGCGATCTGATGAATATGAAGAAATATGGCGGGTCCAATTGGAGCGTACGAAGCGAAACTCTGATCGCGAAGGCTGTTCCGTTGAGCACAGTAACATCGAAGAACTCGCAGGTTGGAAAGAGCGTAGACGATGATCTCGAGAACGAGCTGCAGGACGAATTTTCGATCTCTGGAAAACCCTTGACCTGTGCTCAAAGAACTCAACGACTCAGCAGACTCATCAAGAAACAGAAGCGAATGATGGTTCTCAATCCTAATACTCTGGAAAGAAACGTGGTGAGTCATTGCCAGTCAAACGGAAATTGGACTGCTTTCGATAACGTCAGTCGTGTATCTTTATTGAAAAAAACGTCGATATCTATGCAACCGAATTGCCGTTTAATTCGTTTCTAGTTTAATCGAGTTGTAGGATCGTTTTGATGAACGAGCTTTTGACAAATGGACTTTTTTGTAATTACAATGATCGTTAATGGCACGGGATGAAAGAGACAAAAAATACCCCCGTAATAGAGCTACTTTACGGCGGAAGCGACGTGGAAAAATGTATTACCGGTTTACTATGATAGAGACGCGAGCACTGCAAGATTAAAAGTCACACGTACACATTTATCATTCGCTTCTTGCGTCAGGTACATATGTTATTTCTTGATTACAAGCGACACCGTGATAGTAACAAGAGAACGAAACGGAAAAAATATTTATATCTACACGATTTGCTCTATTATTTTAAATTATTACTTTTAACTTCATATTTTCATACGAAACGTGATTTTTTATTTTTATCAACTGTACATTGACGATAACAGCAGCTACTCGCGTTTCCCTTGCAACGACGAATGCATCGAAAAAGTAGCTTCATCGATCTCAGACGAAGAGAGAAGGAGGAACACTTGGTCGTTTGCTTCAACTTCGGTTGAATTCGAAACAGCTTCTACCGCGATGGCAGACACTTACGGGACTTGAAATATTCATGATGCATTCGTCGTCTATGCACGCTGTGCAGGACTTATCGTCAAATGCTTTGTATTCTCGTCCTCGGGATATTTGCCTTCGACGCTCGGTATTTGAAATTCGGTAACGAGAGTAACTAAGAGCGAGTACTCTGCGGCGCAAATGTTTTCATCTACTTTCGCGTCCTCGAAATCTCCTGCGATAAATTCCGATTGTATCCCCGCGATATCGCCGACAAAGTTTTGTAAACGTTTGTAAGAAATACGAGCATTTACTTCGGCGCAACTTCCGCGCAACAAAATAACGCTCCAGTAATTTTAACGGATGCATTTTACGCGCAAGAGAGCCTTGGTTAATGCGTTATTGGAACCGTTGTCGTTGGCGAGTTCCCGTTGTGTCCATCGTGCAATTTCTGTCATATAAAGTTTCTGCCGTTTTAACTTTGCCGTAGAGAATCATCGCTGTTTGTTCAACGAGTAAACAAATCTAGGAAACATGTTTAAATATATTCCCGTGCAATCATATCTCATATTGTGAAATAACGAAGAGATATTTTTATAAAAGATTATAAAAACTCTCTTGTAAATTATTAAATATTAACTTAAAATATGCTATTATACAGTTAAACATTTTATATACTTTAGAAAATCTCGTCGAATTTATTTGATATTATCAATACGTATCAAATAGTCGATCAATCGTGGATTAGCTGATCTTATGGTCTTAGCTTACGCGTCTCTAAGATATGTGAATAATCCTCTAGATGCTCGTTAACGGTCGTTATCGCCTTACGTTATTAATCAGATATAACAATGACAAATGAATCACTTGCCAATTATATTCAGCTGAAACGTAAGCTAAGGTTCTTATCCTCCTGCGCGATTTATAGATCACGAGTAATACCTGTACGTCTTAAATTCTTTAAAAAATTGCACGTTTTTTCTTACTTAATGTTGGAATCGTACTTACTCGTGTGATGTCGATAGTAGGTCAACGAAAACAATTACGCTTTAAAAAAAAATCCAAGTGCCGTTGAAAAAAAGAATCTATTATATGACTTCGTATCCACTCTTTGGATAATCAAACAGAGCCGATTTCTTCTCTCAGTTTAAGATTTCATATTTACCGAGAGAATTGGTCACACACAAATGTAAAAGGAATTAAAAGCGAGAATCTTCATCTTTTGAAGTTGTCCGTATCCGTCGAACCAAGCAATTGGTATTGGTCCAGGCGCTTTAGAAACGTTCCCTTTTACCCGTTTCGTCAGGCAAACGAGACATCGATTCTTCCACTTACCTCCTTACTCGGCCAAGCTCTGCAGGTCGCGAATCTCGCAGAGATCCCTTTCCCGCATGGCAGCCTCAAAGATATTCGATCATCAAAAGAAATGAATTCGCAAAGCCGCGATTTAATTCAGCATCTCGTAGTCGAGCGGGGCTTTTTCTATCAATTCTCTAATTTGCATCAATCGTAGATTGCAAAGTCGGCAAATGCAAAACAAATTTTGATATTGCATCACTATTACGATCATTTATTCGACTGATAACTTTTCTTCCTCTTCTTATTTACATGAATATGTACGTTAAGTAAAATGCACTTCTGGATAAGCTTCTTAAATCGTTAAATAAATATTTGCAATTCCTATGTAAAATGCGATGCGAGAGATTTAATTAATGTTGGTACAGTATTCTCCCTCTCTTTATTGTATGATTTTATCGCGTACTCCTTTTTATGACTTCCCTTCCTACTGTATTAACGTATATTTACACATATTTAATACGATATATGGTAATTAAGATAAAAATGACAGAATGTTCACGCGATCCCAAAAAAGTGGATTAACCGAGTGATATGAACGTTAGAAAACGGCGCAAACTATGATCCCTGAACTAGCTCCGTCGTGAAATATTAAATTGCATTCTTTATTTATCCTGTTTTTAATTGAAGCATTATTTTAAAAGAATAATCGGCCTTTCGATGCAATTTGTGCGATAATGAAAGAGAGTGTACTCGCATTAATCGCCATGATTGACGGCATTAATCTTGCTGGCCGTTTTGTAAACGACAGATCGCAAACATTTCAAGCCGGGATCCGCCGGCTTGATTCTCGAGCTCTCGACATCCGGTATACGGAACGAGGTTAATATCCCATAATTTTCTCTCCTGTGTCCGCGGGTTATTTTCCTTTATGACAACGCTGATAAGATTAGTCAATAGAGCGAGCGTAGGAAAAGAGAGCTTTGCCGGTCGTATGCCATAATATTTTCTATTATCACAGCGTTCACCTCTTGCAACAACTTGAAATCCTAGCGTTCTGAATTATTAAAATATGATAATATTCTTAGCGCGCCGGGGAAAATATTTGTTTTGGCTTATGAAATATTGTACATCTCTATCGGAAATTGCACGAGAATCACTAATGAGATTCAGTTACGACACATTTGTGGAATATAAATAATATTATTTGAGATGGATGGTATCATGAGTATTTGTAAGGCTTTACATATAAATGATAAATGATACTCTCATTATTGTTATAATTTTACAGAGGATCGTTGGATATTCTGATACACTGATACTTAATATTCTGAATGTATATATGAACAAACACTAATTAATTAGTGTTAATCTCCACGTGGAGCAAGAGAAAATATGACAATTAAAGTTTGATAGCTTTTTATTCGTAATTTCTGCAAATATGAGCTAATCTCGTTAGAAAATCTTCTCAATAAATTTGTTTAATGTATAAGGCAAATACGAACCGCATACACGAAGCGAGAACCGCAAGACAGTTACTTACAATTATAAATGAAAATACGCCGCCTGTATAGTCATTCATCACGAAAATGAAGAAGGCTGATATAGATCTATGGTTTACAAAGCGACTGTTTGTGTTAAATATTCTCGCAAAGAGAAACTATAATCTACGAGAGTGCTGTGTTACGTTGTAAAAGAATTAGTATAAAAATTCACTGAAATATATGTGGCTTGTATGTAACATGATTTCAGTGAGTAATTTTCACATTTCAAATTATCTCGTGATGCTTTATTACGTTTCTTTAATTAATATTATGTTCCTTCAATTAATTTACAGATATGTATGTGTAATGTACTTGTATAATATATGTATTTATACATATTGTATTTACATACAATATTATAATTTTCTATATGATTTATGTTACAATTTTATTAATTATTTGCGCAATTTTCGATCTATCTTTCTGTCGTTTCATAGAAAATCAGGCTATATCACGGATATAACTTTGCTCTAACAAGGATTATCTAGTCTTCTTTCTCATTGTTTTCATGCTCGGCAAAGATCGCCGTTTTGCCACGTGATATCGTGAACACATTTTGGACGTCAGATCCAGAATTCATGTTTATTCATGAATACCAACGATATAATTAAAATGAGTGCTTCTCTCTACCTCTCTCTCTTTGTCATGCTTGTTCATATTTATCAACGAGCTTGATAATATTCGTGGGCATACGGTTAAACGCAGTTAATTGCTAACAATAATAGCTTCTTCACCGCTACCTCTTTAAATATTCCGGGAATACGTCTTTCACGTATTCGCATGAGAAGATTCGTATTATCCATTATATAGTATTATCCATTAATAAAATTCTTTTTTTCTCGCGATTTTTTACTTCTTTTTTCCATTTGTTTCTTTCCTAATTGTTTCTTTCAAATTGTGTAAAGACCAGTTTCTTTAAAATTCTCAATACGAGTAAAATCTATTGTTAATGTTATTTTTAGCCAAATTTATAGGCTTTAATTATTATATATAAAGTATATATACATAAGATATTAATACGATATATTCTTCTTTCTGTTCCAGGTGAGTATTACAATTTTGTCAATTGCTCCAATATTGATGCGACATACGAGATTGCGACAGGTGAGTCTTATTTTTGCACAATGCTCTGCCTTCAACTATTATGATATTAAAACGAATGCGCTATTAATATAATGGCAAATAAATGTTTGCCATATGAAAATTCCCTTAAAATGAGATCATAGAAAATAAGATTTGTTGAAAACGATTGTATATATTGCTAAGAATGTTCCGCCTCTAATTATCCTTTAAAGTCTCAATTATCGATGATAATTGATATAGAGCAAAGCTTGACTTCGTGCGGAAAATATTTTTACAAAATATTTTTGCGAAATATAAAATGTAATTATTAATAATTATTAGTAATTATTGATAAGTATTATATGCGTCTAATGTATTATAGAGAGGGAAGAATTTATCAATAAGATATTTTTTTATTGAACAATTTTGCCATAAGTATTAAATAGCATAAAAAGAATGTTTTCCATTGCCGTATATCTTTCTCTTGTCATATTTTTAAATAAACTCGAAAACCGCTGACATTGCAATTGGAACAATCAATGTTCAGGCACGTTTAAAGCTTGACGATGAGCTGCATATCGAAGTATATATTCGTCATGTATATATTATACATAGAAATGTGTGTGAATCTCTGTAGGAATGTTTACACGCTTCAGTACACGATCCGAACGAAGCGCGATTAAATATTCATAAGACATGGCGTAATGCAGCAGATATTTATGTAGAAACTTTTTTTTTATGGCGTTATAGCATCCACTATGAAAATCGCAACAACTTCACAACTTTAAAATTATTGGAAATCGTTGAAAAATTTATGATCTCACGGCTGAATTTTCGTAATATCGTGTCTTTTTTGAGAGCTCGCTGACATAGTTTGCAGTACAATTTCTTGCATTTTAAGAGTTTAGCTCGCACGAAAATTTGATTAGAATAAAAGGCAATTTTAGAATAGTTCGATGATTTAAAACGCGAATTGTGCAATTGCAACTGTATGAAAAAAGGAAAAATAACTACTAAAAATAAATGACAAATATTTGAAGGGTGCGTCGATAGTTCAATCCTAAAGTGCTTTTGAAAGGGGTTAACAGTGTCATATGACCGTCATATGCTTGCTCAAACATTTTCGAAATTTGATACATTCGGAGGGTAACGCGCATCAGTCGACTAAAGTTGATAAAATCTGCAGTTTCATCGCGTTACCTCACGTTGCCTTCATCTTTTGTATACCGGGCTTTGGTTGAGTGAGTGTACCTGATACATATCTATTCTTTTATATCTTAAAAAGATAACGCGAATATATTGGTGCACATATGCATGACAAGAAAATGAGAAAAATTGAGGATTAAAAATATTTTAGATGAATGAGAGACACAGAAAATATTCACAAATATGTACACGTAAAATTAAAATTTATCTTTTAAAATGTTTATTAAGCGTCGATGTTTTTGTAATATTTGGCACTTAAAGTAATGGCAACTTATTATAAAAAGGAAAGCAAAATTAAACTTAATATCGATTTTGAGATTCGAGTATTTTTATATCTAATAAAGAGACAAGTGCCTCTTTGGAGAGAACTCCGTTTGAAAAAGCATTTCCGGAAAATCAGAGGTTTGCTCGTGTACTTATTTGCTAATTACGTCCCTTACTTGATGAGATACGTCAATCTTGCTCATTTGTCCCTCGTGCAATTTGATCAAAGACCCATTACGATGATGCATATATCATATTGGGTTCGTACTAATGGTAACTGCACGCATAAATTTCGTCAGAAATTACGCTCGGCGCAAACCGAGTACAAGAGTTTATTTTGTTATTTATTTCACCATAAGTGTAGAATAAATTTATCGAGTCCACAAAGTAAATGTGACACAAACAGCTTGTGCATATTTATCTCAATTTATATAAAGAAATGGTATTGCCTCGAATTTGTCTTTTTCCTGACAATTTGTTTGGCCGAGGACACGGGGTCTCGCGTCATTCTTTTTTCCTCGCCACGAACTGCTCACTGAGAAATAGCGTGATTTTCTTCTGGCCATTGGTGCGATAAGATACGTTTCCCCCCCCCCCTTCTTGTGCTTGCGAGACGTAAGGGTTGACGTTATCAATCAAGCCGGCGCCGGACCGCATCGCCCGCGGTGATGTCATGCATGTCTCGGAACGGAAATGAACACTCACGCTGAAGTCGGCGATTAGAGCTGGCATTGAAAGAGCGATACTACACGTATTGTGCAATTCTCTTCGAATCGCACGAACGGTACTCTCGAACCGCTTCGAAACTGAACGAGCAGACCAGGCTTCGTCGGTCATAAACACCTCGCAGCTTACGTGCTTCGCGAAGCTCGCTTAAGCTTCGGCTTAAAGAAGGAAGGAAAGAAAGCTGAAGACGTCGCCGTTACTATCGGAAGCAATAGTTTCCGCCACACTATAAAGGAGAACGAGACGTTTTACGATCTATTAAGGTGCGATAAAGTCAGCGAATGAATACTTTGGTGACAAGGATTCTTTTAGAATTATATGTGAGGATTAAGAAAGAATTGATGAAGAGGATATACTATTGACTTTCCCTTTCTCTCTCTCGAGGAATTCCTTGTTTTGTTCATTATTAAATTTGCACGTTGCGAGTAAATTCGCAATCGTGTCAGTGACGTTTTATAAAATTTATTTTGCATCCGATATAGCTTATATTTTGATGTAGGCATATTTGTTTGAAAAGATTGATAGTTGCACGTGTGCAACATTATCGATATTTTATTATTGAAACTGATTAAAGAAAGTTAAAGTGCTGCGATATAAACGAGATCCGATAATCAGTTAACGGATCGATGGAATCTGGGAGGAGGGAATGATTTATAAGGTGTACCTTGAGCAACATTACATTGTATAATCTCGGCCGCTGGTTTTTATTACTATCCATCAAGGAATTTATCGATAACCTAGAACTTAGAACAACACTATCGTTATAAGATCTACCGTATAAACATCGGACAAAGACGGTGATTCTCGAGACAATGGATCGAACGAAGCTATTGATCAGATTCTCAATTCCCTTGTTTTGAAGTAAGTCGGTTGGACGAAACACGTCGGTGAACATGACGTGTTTCAAACTCTAAATAGACCGATCCCACGTTCTTATATAAATGATTTCTGAGGTCGGGGCGTCCCAATAGTTTCGAGATAGTGCTTAAGTGCTTCAGGAATCGTTCGACCAGAATTGTCCAATTGGAATTCTCTGACGAGCAGTGCATCCGCGCTCTACGTTCCGTCGATCGCCGGCGAAATTATCGATCCGCATGAGGTTATTCTTGTGTTGTTACCTTTTCCTTACCGTTACCTCCCCTCGAAGTACTTGTGTATGCGCGTTATCGAAGCAAAACAGAATATAACCTCCTGCCCGATAGAAACGATATTAAAAGTGTCATCGCCGGAGGCTAGTAATGATCCTCCGGGAGTATCCGATGATTCTGCAGAAATAGCGTCTAGAGGATGAGATAAGAGACGAGATATCTGTACAAATCTCATTCCAGCGAAATCACAATGTTCGATATTCTCCTGGGCGGCAGGGGGGGAGAAATTCTACTTTCGCGATTGTGAACGAGGTCATCGAAAATTAAGATCGTCGCGATCTTATTTCCAGAGCGGTTAACGAATCGGCGGTTTTACGATCTCGTTCCCGTCGAATCGGGTGACCTCGCGACTTCGCAATTTATAATTTATCGAGCTCCCCGTGCATTTTCATTCCCACGATCTCGGTCGATGTGTTACACATATTCGCTTGAAATTTATCCGTTTGTTTTTTTCGCGAATAGAGCTCTCGCATATCGAGCAACGCGAAACTTGGTGTCGCAATATTGCTTGTCCAACGGGGAACAAAAGAAATCCTACGGGAGAAAAGGCTTGTCATGATTTACGAGGCCACGCGGAAATTATGACAGGCGGCTTGCTTCTCATGCATTTAGTTCCGACTTAATTAATGATTTTCGTACGGAGCATGCGCTTGTCCGGTTAATTCCACGACGATCATAGGATCGTCGTCTTCATTCTTTCTCGCCGCATACAATATTTTCCTTGCCCTTTATACACGAAGTAGTCGGTATATTAATATTAATGAAATATTCCCCGCGGAAATTAAAACGACAATTACCGCGAGCCAAACGTTCCTTGTCGTTTTATTTCTCTTTTTCTTTTGCGCCTTTTGCAAAGAAGAATATCGTTGAACATAAATTTCTCGTTCATCGCTTATCATCCCGGTTAATAAATAATATGAGCGTGTAACCCTTTTCCTCTCTGAGACTTCATTAATTATCATTAGACGTTCGCTGCTCCAAACAGCAGAATAGGCTATCGCGTGCTTCGAGACAAGTTCTTCAATCGAGAACAGGTGTTCGGGATTCTCTCGTGTATGCGTTTACTTGCCGGATATTCCGGTAACCGACGGCGCCGTCTGGAACCGCGCGTTAGAGGCAACAAAATCCAGACGAGCGTGAATTCTGGGAGAACTCGAAAGTAAAAAGAGCGTTTCAGCTGACATGGAACGCTCTTTGGAAAGTGGGACAGCGAGATTTTCTCTAACAAACACGCTAGGACTCGTGCCTTGCCGAAAAGAAAAGCGGGTGACAGTTGCCCTTCACGTGCACATGTCTCCCCTTGACTCTACTCTCCCGTTTCTTATGTTGAGTCTGCCCTCGTATCTCGTCTTGTCTTTCAACTTTTCATCAATATGTCTCGCTTATCCTACGAATCGCACTTGTTTCATACACTTTTAAGCGCTTTCCATTTTAAGTCTCGAACTTTCAAAAATTCACCGCGTTTCATCCCCCGAATTTTAATTTTTATATTTAATAAAATTTTCCGTTCGAAATAATCAAGGACCCTCATCGAGCAGTATCTTTGTCGCGTGTGTAAAATAAATATGCTTTCCATTATAAATCTCGAACTTTCAAAAATTTAATATTCATCGCGTTTCATTCCCCGAATTTTAATCTTTATATTTAATAAAATTTTTCGTTCGAAATAATTTCGTTGAAAAAATTTCATCGAGTAGTATCTTTGTCGCGCGTGTAAAATAAATGTGGTTCCAAATAACCGCGTATGAGAGTTGGATCGAATATCTCCAC